GAAATGCCTACGTATATGCTCGTGGGGATTATAAAATATTATTTTGAGTTTTACCTATATCTTCCCTCCATATCTTTTAAACATACTAGTCAGGTTATAAAAATTGAACTTTTTAAAAGAAATTTCAGGAGGCATCTTAAAATCTCATTTGAGAGACTGGAGATGTAGCTCAGTGGCCCAGCACTTGCCCAATCAAACTTGTAAATCTTTGAGTTTTGTTTGTTTGTTTGTTTGTTTGTCTTTTTGAAACGTGGTCTTGCTATGCGGTTATGCTGGCATTGAGTTCACTTTGTAGCCCAGGTTGATCTCAAACTTGTGACAATCCTCTTGCCTCAATTTCCCAAGTGCTAGGATTACAGGCTTTTCCCAGCCACACTCAGCACAAGTCTTTGAGTTTGATTCCCAACATCAAAACAAAAAGTTTTCTTGGGAAAATAAGCATATCTGGAAACTTTTATGATATATTGATAAGTGAAAAAGCCAGAATGCAAAGTATTTATAGATTGGTTTCATGTTATTTGTAAATCTCTATTTACATATTTTTTTAAGTACTCTACAGCGAAAAGTGTTGGTAATTAAAGTTTCCCTTTTGTGCTTCTGTGTGATTATGTACTACTTCATGATTAAGGAAAAAATGTTATTTTTAAAGGACAAACAAAAATGACTCAAAGACAAGGTCGGGTGCCTGAGGGATGGGGGAAGAGTCTCAGCTCTTGCCAGGCATCTGGCCTAAGAAGCCTCACTGAGAGCCTCAGTTGCCTTACAGAGGAGGCAAGGATGGTTGTGTGATGGGGGGAGCTGGGTGTGCTCATGGGGACAGTGATTAGCACTAGCTAAGGATAAGTGATCTTATCCTCATCTTGGCCATTCAGTGACTCCTTGGGGCTGGAATAATAACTTCTGAGTGTGATCCCGAATAAGAATCCCTTCTCTAATCTCCCGCACTCCTGTGCTTTCCCTGGTACACCTCCAGTGACCAGGGGTGCCCCTTCACACTCCTCTGTCCTGCCAGTGCATGGCTATCATTCTACCTTGGAAACAGCCTTAGCTCAAAACCGAGAGATTTTAGTCCAGGTCCTGATTCTGTCCTCCAGAAGGCGCATGGTCTAGGACAAATCACATTGTGTCTCTGGGCTGGTGAACTTCACCTGTGAGGAATTTTAGTGTCCTTCTGCCCTAGAATTGTATGTCTCTTTGGCTTGCGAATGCGTCCTCATGACTTAGGAGTTTGGGCTGGGCTTAGCAGAGGGTCCTTAGGTCAGGGATAGGAAATGGCCAAACACATGTGAAAGTTTAAGTTTTAGAAAATGATCTCTTAGGGGGCTGGGGATTTAGCTCAGCGGCATAAGCGCCTGCCTTGCAAGCAGGCAGTCATGAGTTCGATCCCTGGTACCCATAAAAAGGAAAAAGACAAAAAAAAAAAAAAAGAAAGAAAGAAAAAAAATGATCTCTTCTTTTTTAAAAAATCATTTTATTTTAAAGATAATAAAACCGAACAAAACAAAACAGTGATATGGGTACAAAACCTTAAAGTAGGATAATAGGAAAACAACAACGACTACCATAGTACATCTTGTTAGTCACAATATTTGTCCATTCCATCAGGTATAGCAAAATCAAAACAAATCAAAACAGAATATTGAATAAAGCAAAACAATTAATGGGAATAAAACAAAACAATGCAAACAATATTGGATTTCAAAAACAAGATAAAAGAAAATCCTTATATTTGCTATATTACATACTGCTATCCTCCCTATAGGTGCTCAGATCACCAGCCCCACACCTGAAAAGTCAACCAAATAATACAAACATTCAGCTGCTTTTTGTACCTCAGGTGTTATCAACTCAGCCTCCAAACCAGCTGGTTGCTTGGGAGTGGGGAAGGAGTTGATGGGGAGAGAATTGGTGATTTTCAGCCCATGTGCTGGTAAGCACGCAGCAGGCACTGTCTGACTTTTCTCTTCGTGGGCCCCACGTGGCTTGCCTTGAGTATTTGTCTTGACTCTGCCCTCAGAAACCCAATGGCTGTCTCTGACATGACACACTGCAAGACACACAGAATTGTTTTGTAATGTACCTGCCAAAAACGCATGAGCTGAATCCAACCATGAGGAAAAGTCAGGCAGGCTCAAACAAGGGACGTTCCACATAACTGGCATGGACTCTCCAAAAATATCAGTGCCGTGAAAGATCAAGGAAATGGTCCAGATTAAAGGAGACCAAAAAACACAGCAACTAAATACAATAGGGTTCCAGAATTTTCTTTTACTATAAGAGATTTCACTGGAATAAGGTAAAATTTATATAAATTCTTAGTGCTGGCATCCTGGTTTTGTTGTGTATGGTTATATAAGAAATAATATATTTTGTATGGTTATATAAGAAAATGCTTATGAAGCCAGGTATGGTAACACACACCTGTTATCCCAGAACTCAGGAGGCTGACCCCAGAAGCTTGCTGCACATTCAGGGGCAGCCTTGGCTACATAATGATTTCAAGGCCAGCCTGAACTATATAATGACACTCTGTCTTTAAAAAATTTTATAAATAAATTTAAATATAGTTAATAAATAAATATATATACATGGAAAATGTCTTTGTTTTTAGGAAAACCTACTAAAATATTTAGGTATAAAGGGATGTCACATCTGCAATTTACTTTCAAAATGGTTCAGAAAAGATGTACATCATGCTTTTAGCATATCTGTATATCTGTAAAGGGAGGTAAAGACACAGAAGGTAACAGTGGGAAAACTGGTTAAAGATCTACAGGAATTTCCTGTCCTACTCCTGTGACATTTCTGCAGGAAAGGTGCCCAGTGGCTACCCCTTTGCTCACCAGCAATTGCAGCCACTTTTATTTACTGAGCATTTATAAGGTGCCAGATGATCTTCTCAGCCTCACAGCTGCTCCATTGCAGGGTGTCATGGTGCCATTTTGCAGAGAAGGAATCTAACATCACACTCAGAAAGTGATTCTTCCCAGCCCCTTGGCCCATGGCCCGTGGCCTATATGTCAGAGAACTGAAGTGAAATTAAACCTTCACTGCAGCAAAGTCACAGAACTTCGCACATTACCTTTCAGGTGAGACTATGCACAGAAACCTGGCTGCTTTATTCTTTCTAAAACAACCAAGCAGGAGATACCAGAATACAGAACTAAATTTAGTTCCATTCAATTTGAGACTTAGTGCAATCCACTAATCTAAACACCCACTTGGGATTTCCTGGATTCAGAGAGGTTTGTTCTCTTTGCTACAATTCCTAGAATTTTCAGATTCTGCCTCCTGTCTCTCAACCGTCTCAAATGCAGCAGCTGGGCAAAGGGTGAGGCATCTGCCTGGCCTGGTGCTGGTTGGCATCTGCTGGGGTCTGGGTGGCCCAAGGCTGGCACTAAGAACAGCACTGGCTTTCCACTACAGGCAGCTGCTAGTGAGCTGCTTCAGTGTCTCTGGCTCCTCAAAGCCTAACAGTGACACCAGGTTCCTGTACTCTCAGAGCGTTCACATGGCCCTGTAGACTTCTTGGAGTTCTTAGCCTCTTTCTAAACACCATGCCTTCACTCCCACCATGACCTGATATGATGGGCCCTAAAAGAGTTCCCTGGCCCTCAGTTTGGCATCTGGGCCATCTAGGAACCAAGGGAGGAAAGAAAGCATTACTGCTATCCAGGTGGTTGGCTTTCTGTTTGGGGTTGATCAGTGCCCCCATCACGGTTGGTAAATAGCTGTTCCTAAGCCCCTCAGAAGCTCTCGGCTTCTCTCCAGCAGCCTCCAGCATGTCTGTAAGTTCTTCTCAGACCCCAAACTTAGCACCTGGCACAACGATGACTCCAAAACCGCTCCTGCCACTCCATCAGCACTTCTGCTGGGAAGTGTCTTACATGTCCCCGCCCTTTCTTAGCCTGGACACACAGAGGCAGGGTCCACTCATCCACTTGTACCCAAAACAGCACTTTTCCTGCAAGCCTCAAAGGATAGAGGACAAAGGTCTTGAGGTCTCTCACCTTACCCAACACTCTGCCTTGTTCTTGTTCCATCTCAGGAACAAAGATGGACAGAGGCTGGAAAAGCAAAACCCCTTCTTCCCAATGTCTCTTATAGCAAGAGTGGCCATAGGACACAGGGGTTCAGAGAAAGTGCTGGCTTTCATCAAACAAGGTGTGGTAGCTCCAACAACCTTTACCCCTCAAAACAAGGACATGAGATCTGGAGTCTTGGTGGTTGTATTGTGATCCAAGAGGACTGAAGAACTGCTTGCCCTGACACGCTGACCACCTACCTCTAAATTTCTTTTTATGTGAGAAAAACAAGCAGAGGCTAATTGTTTCTTGTTTCTTTAGAAATGCAATCCGAAGGGACACGGAGGAATTAAACTACGTATTTGTCTGTCTACCTCCTGACTCCATTCACATTTTCTCCCTATATTCCTGCCCCACAAATCCAAAGACCTGGAAGAGGCCAGTCTCTCCTGCTACTTTATGCTTGTGTGAAAATTGCTTCCATAAAATTCTCATGGTCCATCTCATTGAGCAGCCTTTTAAACTGCTAAAACAGGAAGTAAAAGAGCATAGAAAAATCCTTCCACAATCCAGAGGGCCACCATTCAAACCAAAATGCTGTCTCACTCTGATGCCAGATGCTTATTATTGACTCTGTTATTGTTAACTCTTGCTACCACCAACTCATTGTTGCTACCAACTCTTGTTAATATTGACTCTCATTATGACCTCTACCTTGCTTTTCGCTTTCCTTCCATAAAGGCCTAATCTTCTGCTATTATAACTACCCTCATTTTATGGATGAGGAGATTGAGGAGGTTTACAGAGGCTAAGTAATTGTTCCAAAGTTGGATCAGGCCAGGACCGGAACCATCTGCAGTGGTAATAATGCCCACTCTCCCCGGAGCACCTTCCTTCCCTCCACCAACCATCCTTCCCACACCCTGGACTTTGACCCATCCTGTGGGGAAGGAAACAGAACAAAGAGCAAGTTGGCAGCCTGTGTTTTATTGGATCACAAGAGTGCCTGGTCCAGAAGTAGCTACTCATCGTCTGGCTTCGGAGGACGCGTGGGCTGGAACGAGTAGGCAAGACAGCACAGGGAGGCATCCGGGCACAGGTGCATGAAGGATTCTTGTCTCATGCAGTACGTCCGGCAGGACCCTTGGCCCTTCCAACACCGTTTGAATTCAGTTCTCCCTGTGTACAGGAAGACCACAGATCACAGAGCAGTCACACCACTGATCACAAATTAGACCACTGGTTAATCCACACTGGTCATAGATTCTTTCTAGATGTTTGTTAGACCACTGACCATAGATGAGAGTTCCGGGTACAATTTAGGCTACAGATTTTGGTCCCAGTTATCCCACAGATCACAGGTTAAACCACTCATTATAAGTCAGAGACAACTTTCAGGTAACACAACACACCGGGTACATCCTCAGCACCTTTCATAGCAATACAACATCAGTACAGTTGGTCTTACTATAATCCCTCCTCCATAGGTGAGCAAACAAGGCCTCAGAGAGGATAACAACTTTACGCCAGGTCACATACCCACTAAGAAGCAGAACGAGGATTCAAACCAAGCAATCTGGCTCCAGAGTCTACATTCTCAGCCAAACACAAGCTGATCCTGCCATGTAGAGACTTGTTTAATATTAGGTCATAGTCAAGGATTTCCAACTATGGGCCATAGAAAAGATAAGGCTTTAAGAGAGTAGGTTCTAAGGGGCTGGGGATTTAGCTCAGCGGCATAAGCACCTGCCTTGCAAGCAGGTGGTCATGAGTTCAATCCCCGGTACAAATTAAAAAAAAAAAAAAGAGTGGGTTCTGTGCCTCCTTCCGTGGCCTTTGGTTACAGCATGGGATAGAGCCCCCCTCCTTCATTTATTCATTCAGCAAAGATGGAGCACGAAGGATATCAAAATAAACAATTTGACTACAGCACTTGCCATCCTTGAGGAAGGAAGGGAACATAGTTTTTAAAAACAAGCAAGTAAGTACAGCACATAGAGTTTGTAATAACTGGCATAAATTAAATGATCAGAGTTCTGGAATGGCCAATTCAAGTCGAAGTTGGACAGTGAGGAAGGACCAGGATCACTTAGGCTCACCTGTTCTACACGGCCTTGAACAAGCAGAGAGCCAGCAATGCAGAGGAGCCAGGGCTGAGCAGGAGGTGGAGGGAAAGGCCTTCCTGCATCTCCCTGAACCAAAGAGACTCCACATAATGCTCAGATGATGTCTTGAGCCTACTTATGGATTTTACCAGCCCTGCTGACCAGTCCTTCCATCTTACCAAGGAAAAAATCTCAGAATGACACAACATTGATCTCAAAGTCCACCACATGAAAAATTCACACTTAAAGAATTTGTGGGCTGATAGTTAACAGTGTCGTGTGAACCCAGCTCGGCCCTGCTGAGTTCAAATCCCAAATCTTTCATTTCCCAGTTGAGTGCTGTCTGACGTTGGCCTTAGAGTCTCCATCTGTACAACTCTCTTTCAGAAGATAATTCAAGATTATTTTAGAAAGCTGGGCATATAGCTCAGTGGCACAAGTACCTGCCCGGCAAGGTTGTGAGTCAGATACCCAGTACCAAAAAAAGACATGATCATTTTAGCACAACTCATGTAGTAAACAATAAATAGAAAATGAGGTAATCAGAATGGCATCTTAGTAGCTGGAGCAACCAAGGCCCAATCTGGGTAAACTCACTTTCCACATAAGAAGGGAGAGAACTTACTGAAGACCATTTGCTGTTAAAATGATGGGTCTGGAAACAATCCAAGCCTTTGATCAGGCAGTTCCTACACTAGCTACCTCAGCACATCATCACAACTGCAATTTCAGGCAGCCCAAGACACAAAGCTGCTCTTCCCTCTTGATATCTTGGACTTGGCTTCTCATACTTTCTTTCGGTTCCTTCCTCCAGCCACACTGGCCTCCATGGCTCCTCAGACAATAGCTCTCAGCTTCCTGCCTCAGGCCCTTTGCCCTTGCTGCTCTGACTAGTCTTTGTGTCCTTGAGTGATTCAGAACTCTGCTCAGACTCACTGGAAACAAAGTGATCAGATCACTGGGATATATGCGCAAATAACTCACTGATGAGGGGAGGGAGGAAATAACAAAGCTGGACTGGCTCAAGTCCCTAAGTGTTCCGGCTGGGTGATAAGTACATGGGGAGTCTTTATACCATTTTTCATTTATACTTGAAATTTCCAAAATTAGAAAGTTTATTTTCAAAACTCACATCATCACAGTATTCCTTATTTTTGCATAAATTTCAATTTTTCCATAATAAAAACATTTTTAACTTGCCTTTTGGGACTGGGCGTATAGCTCAGTGGGAGAGAATGTACTTTAGCATGTGAAAAGCCCAAGGTTTGATCCCAAAACACACACGCGCACACACACACATACACACATGGCCAGACACGGTGAGGAACACCTGTAATCTCAGCTACTTGGGAAGCTGTGGCAGAGGACTGAAAGTCTGAGGGTCGGGGGAGGGTGGTCTGGGCAACTTAGTGAGATCCTGCCTAAAATAAAATATAAAGAGATGGAATAAAATATAAAGGGTAGCTCAGTAGCAGAGCACTTCTGGGTTAAATTCCCAGTATTGCAAAAACAAACAAAACAAAGGCCTTGTTCATTATATTATTCTATTTTCAGATCTACTTAAAATATTTTCCAAAATAAAGTTTTAAAAAAGAGGCCATCAAGAGGCCTCCCTTGACCCTCCCCACCAGCCTTCCAACCCCAGCACACACCCCGCTCTGAGCCCTTACCTCGCCTTTGTTCCTCTTGACACTTGTTACACCTGACACATTCTCTACTTAGCTGTCTCTTTTCTATTTCTGCCCAGCAAAATGTCAGCTCCTTGAAAGCAAGGACCTTATTTTCTCTCATCGTCAAATCCCAGCAATTCTAACAGTGCCTGACACACAACAAAGGTTTTTTGAATGATTATTAAGAGAGTCCCATTTTACAGACCAGGAAACAGGTGCAGGCTGATTCAGCAACTTGCTCTAAGCTGTCCATCAAGGCAGCAGTGGGACCAGAATGTAAATGCTGATGTGGGCCCTTCTGTCCTCCAGGACCTGAGAGTGTATTTCTCAGTTTACACACAAACACACACACACACACACACACACCTACACAGAGAGACAGAGAGATAGACAGACAGAGAGATGTTACCTGGTGGGGCATGACCCAGGACCAGAAGGGCCACAATGAGCAGAAGTAGCTGTGTTCTGGCCATTGGGTTCTTGGGGAGACTACAGAGAACTCCAGAGGCGAGAGACCTAGGAGCTGAGCTGGGCTCCTGCCGCCTGGACTTTATGAGGCCACAGATGAAGGCAGGGCCAGCAGCAGAATTGAGTGGGAGGATGAGCCAGTGTGGACCCAAGACTGCTCAACGTTTCAGTCAGCAGTTGCACTTCTAAAGGCTGCTCAGCTCTGAAGCTGGAGATTGAATTTTCTCAAGCAATGCCTGGGGCAGAAACTCAAGACTTTGTCCCAGGAGAGAGTGAGAAGCACCTTGACTGCAGGAAGGCCTTGTTCAATCCCAGCAACTCCTAACCGCTATGAGACCCTGGGCGAGTCACTTAACTTGGACCCTTCAACAAGCTGAGCTTAGGCAAGTCAACTCTTCTCCTTAGGTTTCAGTTTATTTAAAACTGTTGTGAACAGGTTTGCTAAACAGGACCCCTCAACAAGCTGTCGCTGAGACGCAGGCTGTGGTACAAAGTAATGCCTTTGTAAGGCTAGTAAATGGATATTTTGCTTCCTGATGCCAAAGAGATGGGGCCAAGTAAGCAGTGTTTGGACCTATTCTAAAGCTGGCAAGAGTATAAACCTCAAAGAGAGTAATAGCTACCTATCTCACACAGAAAATTAAATGAAATAATGCAATGGTTCTCACAGTGGAGTCCCCAGACCAGTAAGCACCTGCCAAAATGACAATTTCTCCAGTCCTACCCTAAACTTATGAATCAAAAATTGTAGAGAATAGAACCCTCAACAAGCTGTCCAGGTGGTTTTGATGTACCACTGAAGCTTGCGAACCACAAAGATACTATAGGATCAGAGCTCTGAACAGTCTGGTGCCCCGACTGGTGGTGCACATCTGTAACCCCAGCATTCAGGAGCCTGAGGCAGAAGGATCACTGGGAATTCAAAGCCACCCTGAGCTGTAAAGTGAGTTCAAAGCCAGCCTGAATGACATAGCAAACCCTATCTCAAAAAACCAAATGAAAAAAAAATTTTAAAAAAGAATAGAGTCAGGCACACAGGTACCTGAGTTGCACGTGAGACAAGTGGGGCAAGTTATCGCAAGCAGAAGAAACAGTGTCTAAAGAATAGGGCAGGGGCAGAGCAAGCATGTCTAGGGTGAAGGGGATGGGAGCCAGAGCACCATGGGACTTGAGAACGAAGTTCAAGTTTTTATCTTATAGGCAACCAAATGTTTTTTCAGCAGGATCCTGTTTAGCAAACCTGTTCAGATTACTGTTTTAAATAAACTGAAACCTAAGGAGAAGAGTTGACATGCCTAAGCTCATAGAGCTGCTGACCAGCAGAGCAGGCCTGGAAGCAGTCACCTCACCACCACATACTTAAGTGTGCAACACACACCAGTCCCTTGTGCAAGTGGGAAGGGGAGGCTCAGAAGGCCAAGGTGCGGAAGGAAGCCAGGTGCCTGGGGGTCAGCATCTTCCCCAAGACTTCCGGAGGCTGAGCCGTGGGAGTTGATCCAAGCTATGGACCCCCTCAGCCATGACCATGAGCCCCACCCACAGGTACAGCTTGATCTCCATGGCCTGCACTGATTTATGCATCCCAGTTCCTCAAAAGCTAAAGAGTAGCATCCTACTTAAAGCTGGATCTTGACTCCACCTAAAGCCACACAGCCAGGCCCTCTAGCCAGCCTCCTTTCTTCCAATATCCGGGCCTTTCCTCCTCCTCTTCTGGTCTGGAGGCTGAAAGGCAGAGCGACTGGAGTGTCAGGCTCAGCCAGTCTTCAGCTGAATGAGGGAAGACTGACACCAAAACCACAGGCTGTACACGCAGAACCCTTTGGTGCAGGCTTCCCCTGCTCTCTTCTCCCAAAGCACTTCCCAAAATTAATCCTCCAGCCACAACAGGTTCACAAAGTGGGGTCTGCGAGCTATATGCCTCAGGACCTCTTGGGACCCTTGTTTCACTGAAATGCAGGAATTCCTGGACCCCTCTCCACGGGGCTGAATTTGACCTTCCCGCTTGTTGGAGTGGACCCCCGCTGGCGCGGAGGGGAATCCAGACCCAGGAGCCCAAAGTCCCTATCCTCCGGGCTCTGGTCCTCTACCCCAACACTCTCACGTCAAGAGAGCTGGAGCGACGTGTCCAGGGTCCACTGAGCTCTAAGCTCGGAACAGTCTCGGCACTGCCCAGGGCCGGGGCGGGACCCCGGGGCTGCCCCCACGGGGCGGGGCGGGACGGGACGGGGCGGGTCGCGCTCCTCCCCCGGCCCGCGGTGGGGCGGGACCGGGCTGAGGGGCTGCGCGCCGGAGCGGGTGGTACTGCCCGGAGCCCAGAGCAGCTGAGGCGGCGGGGACCGGACCCTGCCCACGCTAAGGTAAAGTGCGCGCACCCCGCCGCCAACTTGCTCAAGTTAGAGCGGAGTTCGCCGGCGCTGCACCGGGCTGGTGCGGCGCGCGGGGGCCGGCAGTCACGAGGCGCTTCGGGGACGAGGGTCCCCAGACCTGGGGCGCCGAGGGCCAGCTGGCCTCGGGCGAGAAAGCCCCTTTTCTCCCGATCCCGAGAGATTTACACCTAGAACCCCAGGCTGGGAAGGTTCGGGCCCAGACTCCAGGGATGGAATATGCGTTCCCGGGCCCTGTGGGCTCCCCTCCCGGTCCCTGGCCAGGTCCCTCCTTGTCACCAAACCTGGGCCCCGGCTGGCCTGCAGCTCCCGCCCCCCAACAACAGCTGGAGGCCGTATCGCCAGCCGCTCCTGAATTTTTCACGCAGGGGGCGGGCTGGACACGCCGTTCCCATGGCACCAGGACACTCAAATTACAGCCTGAGGGATACCCCAAGCCCCCAATCAATGGGGCACCAAGCTAACCTGTCCTGCCACCTTCTGAGACCCGGTGGGACTGGACAGCGGAAGTAACCGCCCCACTGGGAGTCCTGAACCCTCCCCTGCACCCCCAACCCAAAAAGCGAGTGAAAGAGACCAGAGAGGAGGTGGGAAAGAGGGCATTTGCGCTGCGGGGCAGATAGTCTCCCGCTCTGGATGCGAGGGGCAGGGCTGTGTCTACCCGGGTGTGTGCACGCATGGACCTCTCCCCCTTGGAGCTGCCCCCTGGCTGTCTGTGTGTCATTGAGGGTGGGTCACCCTTAGGCGTGAGAAATGGGCGTGCATGTCCGGATGAATTCACAGCTTATGCTCACCCCTTCCAGCTGGACCCAGGTTTACCCTGGGCCTGAAGCCAGAAAATCCCCACCCCACGGAGCTGTGGTGCCTCCCACTGAACAAGAGAGGAAGTGCTCTCAACAGCTCCCTAGTTTATACAAGAAGGGGCTCAAAGCAATTGCCTCATTACCAATCCATCTTCCGGGAGGAAGGAAGGAAGGAAGGAAGGAAGGAAGGAAGGAGAGGAGAGGATCAGTCCGAAGCCCCTTCCCATAAAGGATGACACTAAATACCCAGCAAGAAGCAAAAACCCCACTGCGCCGCAGAGCCAGCACTCCGCTACCCCTGTCATCCCGAAGCCACCAGCCCGCCCGCCTGTGCACTGCACCTCCCATGCAATCCCAGCATCCCCCACTGGGCCAATCAGCCTCCCTCAACCCTCCTGTCCGGAAACCCTCACCAGCCCCAGATAGCTGGTCCTCCGAATCCAGCGACTCTGAAGGCTCCTGGGAGGCCCTCTACCGCGTGGTGCTGCTTGGAGACCCTGGCGTGGGGAAGACCAGCCTGGCCAGCCTCTTTGCAGGGAAGCAGGAGCGGGACCTCCATGAACAGCTGGGAGGTAGGGTACCGGTGAGGTGGGCTGGGATATGGTCAAAGGAGTAAAAGGCCTGTCACGAGGGCCTGAGTTGTACAAGTCATGCGTGCACTGTGCAACTCTAAAGGGCTTTATCACACAGACCATTAGATGATTATACTAACTTAAAGTTGTGTAGCACCATGTCCAGGGAAGGGAAATGTCTTAGGGTGAGAAATATGACAATTTCTCATGAATGAAAAGCACATGATTCATTTCCATATCATAAGGGGAGCAGCTCTAAAAACTACCAATATTAAGAAATGGTGGACTCTTTGAAACTCAGAAACCTCCAGTGCCTGGTTCCCCAGACTCTCAGACCCTCCCAGTCCCACAGATAGCCAATCAGAGCCACCGTGACCTGTAGCATCTCCCCACAGTGGAGGCTGCCATATCTCCAGTTTGGGACCCTTTATTGCTTTGGTTCCAAGAAATGCAGTGAGCTAACAGGGCCAGGCACCCAGGATGATGAGATACAGGGACAGAATAAATGCAGACCTGCCCCTGAAGGACTGGCTGAGAGGACACAGGGTGAGTGGGGAGGAGGATGGTTAAAAGCAAAGAGAGACTGGGGACGATGAGGCCAAGTTCCTCCAGCCTTGATCTACCTATAGGTGAGAGCTATTATGAAAAATGTGGATATATATACTTACAGGCATTCCAGATGGGGATACTGGGGCCCAGAGAGGCTAGCATGACCTGCTGAATCACACACCGAGCTCATAGGTTAGGAGAAGACATCCCAGAGAACACAGTTGGAGTGGGAGATTTCCCGGCCTGACTTTAACCCCACTACCCAACTCATTTAATCAACCAAACCAATCTTCTCAGCACCTAACATGTGCCAAGTGCTATGCTGCAGGGAGCAGGGTTCCCCTCATGGAACTTATTAACCTATCAGAGAGACAGGTACCAAAGAATGTAGTGAGCACCTCGAGGTTTGGGGTGGGGATAACTCACCAGAAAGGGAGGCTAAGGAGACCACGCACTCTGTGGGCCTGCCCTTCTCCCTGACAGCCACCTCTTGCATTGTGTTGCAGATGTGTATGAGAGGACACTCACAGTAGATGGAGAAGACACCACACTGGTGGTCATGGACACCTGGGAGGCTGAGAAACTGGTATGGCTTTGAAAACAGGATTGGTGGGGAGGGATGCTGAGCCAAATATCAGACTCCTGTCCCCTCCTGGGCCACACAGCAGGGATCAGGGCTGGGGCCCTCCTCAGCAGCCCCTCTCCATAGCCCACAGCTTTCCTAACACAGAAGAACTTCATACCCCACTGATCCCCTCCCAGTAGCCATCCCAGGATGTGTACCCCCACCAACAGACCTCCCACCCCTCACCCCACCACCCACAGTACCGAAGAAAGAACCCAGGATTTAGCACAGAAATGACTATGGTTGAAATTCCCCTTTCTGGGGCTGGGGATTTAGCTCAGCAGCATAAGCACCTGCCTTGCAAGCAGGCAGTCATGAGTTCGATCCCTGGTACCAATAAAAAGGAAAAAGACAAAAAAAAAAAAAAAAGAAATTCCCCTTTCTTCTTGTCACTAGTCACAGAGCTTGTGCAACTGACTGATGCACTCTGACTTTCCATTTTCTCATCTGATAAATGAGTCTGTCGTTCCTGCCTTCCTCATTAGCTAATTTTGTTGATGATGATGATGATGATGATGATGATAGTGGTTGTCTGTTTTCAGTGCAGAGCAGCAAACCTAGGGCCTCTGGCATGCTAAGCATATACTCTACCACTAAGCCTATCATCAGCTGTTTGTTTGTTTGTTTGTTTTTATTTCTTATGCAATCCTACAGAAGTGAACCCAGTTCAAAGCATGGAAAAAAATGCGACACAGGAGTAGAGAATAGTATGTGACAATTCTTAAGTTATAACTTGGTAACTGGTAAAAAAGGAAACCAAAGTGCATCCAGAGCAAGAAATGAACAGCACAAAAAGACATGTCTCTTAAATAATTTTTTATTATTTGGGTTTTCTTTTCTAATGCTACACAAGTAATAATGGTTATTGCAGAACTTTGAAGAAGTATACCTAAGCAAAGAGAAGGCTACAAAAGTCACCTGGGATCCCATCTCTTTGTGGGTAGACCCCTCCCCTAACACTCAGGGAGTCCATCCCATGGGGTAGGTCATAAAACAGCAATGGGATGCCTGACAAGAATAGGGGGCAGCTCCACAGATGGGATCAAAGAAAAAATGAAGGAGGAAGGAGCCAATTCCTTTTAACAAATATCAAAAGAAATCCAGGTCCTGATGATGATTCTTTTGGAGGGGGTCATTTTTGAGACAGGGTCTCACTATGCAGTTCAGACTGGCCTTGAGCTCACTTTGTAGCCCAGGCTGGTCTCGAACTTGCAGTGATCCTCCTGCCTCAGCCTCCCATGTGCTTGGGTTACAAGAGTGTACCACTATACCCAGCCTGATGATGATTCTTATAACAGCAGCTGACATGGATAGGAGACCCTCTTCCACCAGATATATAAGCATTGAATATGTATTATGACATTTAGTCAAAACAACTATAATGTGAGTCTTCTGACTTCCATTCTACTGGTGAGAAATTGAAGCTCAAATAGGTTAAATAATGTGCCTCATACTCTGAAAGAGAAAGTAGGATTCAAACCCAGAACTACAAAATCCCAGAACCTTTCCCCTCAGGAGCATCACATTCTGAACCTTTGGTTCAGGCTTCACTTCTTCACTTGTCCATCCACCCACCATTCAGCCATTCAAACATGCATTCAAAAACACTTGCTTGGTATCCACCATGGGCCAGGATGTGGAGACACAGCAAGGAACCCAACAGACATGGCCCCCAGCTTCATGGAGTTCCAAGGCTGGCAAGGAAAGGCCCACTTTTTGGATGCAGTTGAGAATTCTGTGGGCTAGAGTTCAGTGTGGTTAAGAAGAGTGACCAGTGGAGTTCCACTCTGTAGACCAGTGAGGAAAGGTACCGGACCAACCTGCAGGAACTAGGAGTTATGCGCACCTCCACTGTGTGGTCCTAAGAATGTTTTCTCCTCTCCTGTGGCCTTTGCTTTTCCTACCAGTAAAGTGAGGAAACTGAACCAGTTTCCCTGGTGGAAAGGCGTTCCTGGAGAGGGCTCAACAGTAGCATCCTTACTGGACTAAGCATCTGTCCTGTCCATGCATGTGATGGTACTCTTATGTCCAAGATGCAGAATTTGACTGAACTATGCAGGCTTTGGGCTCATCCAGTAGTGCCCTAACTTGACCAGCCATCAGGGCCACTTGTAGAGTATTAAATATCAAATTCTTAGCCTGTCATGGTGCATGCCTGTAATCCCAGCACTCAAGACTGATCCAAAAGGATCACAAGTTTGAGGCTCAACCTGGGCAACTCAGCAAGATCTTGTCTCTAAAATTAGAAAGACCTGGGAAGGTAGTTCAGTGTGAAAGCTCTGGGTGCAATCTCAGTACCACAAAATAATCTAATTCTTAAGCATCATCCCAGACTTAATGAATAAGATCATCTAAAAGTGGGGCTCTAGAATTTTTATTTTTAGTCATTCTACTAATGGGTTCTTATCTACCAATCCATGCATCAACTGGTTTTTGTGATCTGGACCCAGCAAATTATCCATACATATTTGTACAATTAGTGAATGAACGATCAAGACCCACCCTCTCTCATACTACAGACGGGGAAATTGAGACCCAAAAGGAGGAAGGAACCCATCCATGTCAAGAGAACCCATATCTGTCTGGCTGTACTCAAAGGTTATTTAGCCTGTAGAATAATCAACACAGTCGCTGAGAACTTACTCCTTTCACAATGATATTGATGATATTCTGACACTTTCCTATTTGTCTATCCTATTTGGTTATCAGGGAATATTTTTAGCTTCCTCCTCCCTTCCTGTCAGTGCTCCTACTACATTCAGCTTCTCCTATTCTAGGCCTTCGCCCTGATTCTCTCCCTTTATCTGGAATTTCCTCTCCTGCTTGGCCTGCTCAGCCTCTCAAACAGTCCTCACCAGACCCCTGGGAGGCCCTTCCACACGCTGCCACGTTGAGTTTTCTGACTGCCCCACCTCCCCCGACCCCATGGCCCTTTCGTTTACCGATAGATGCCTCTTCTCATGGTGCTGACTGCAGTGGGTTATTACCCTGCATTCCCACAGCCTCTTTTTCAGACCGAGAGCTTCTTGCCATCCTTGACAAATGACCACCAACCAAAAGGAAGTATCAAGATCAAGCCAATTCTTTCCTTTCCCTGGTCAAACACCACTTCTCAATCTCCACCGCACAACCTGTCCCTTGCTACTCCCATCCCTTTTGAACTTACAAGATGTGATCAGAGAAACGTTAAGTTACATTTTTACATATTGCAGTACATTGCCAGTAGGCCTCTCAAAATACTCTGAACACACTTAGCCCACAGTCTTACCACTTTCTGAGGCAGCTCTGATAGTCTCCTTAAAGGAGTATCATTATTTGCCCTGTCACAGCTGCCCAGGACCCTGACTCCACTCCAGACTTTCATTCTTCATGGTCATTTTGACTCTGGTGAGAAGCCAGAAGTCGTACAATGCCAGGTCCAATGGATAAGGTGGATGAGCTCCTCAGACATCTTATGTTTCCACAAGCCTTCTTTCCTGTTGGATGACATTTGGCAGCAGTATTCCCCATATTTTTAATCACATCTCATAAAGATACTCACAAAAGAAGTCCTCCAGAACTGCTTCAGAAAGTGACAAGAATGGTGGATTAAGAGGGAGATTAATGACACTATGACACTTTTACTATGGTAATTTTTTATTTAACATTCGCTGTATATTTTGATCCCCTCTTATACACTCCACAACTGTTCCTTCACCTCTCTCTTCAAAACTGTCCTGACAAAGCCCCTACCTAAAGACAGTCTTTCTGTCGACGCTTCTCTCTCCTCCTTTTCAGACGTTGCAGACGTTCCTAATAAACTGTACAGCAAAGCCAAATTGTCCTTAAAAACCAGGCAAAAGAGCTGAACAGACAAAGCCAAAACCCTCCTTACCAAGTAGGGGAACCACAGAAATCTTTGCCACCAGTGCCAGCCTACAGAAATAATCAGGGAATGAAACCATGAAGTAAGGGAATGTCCGCTCAGTTTTTCAAGCAGAGAAACTGAGGCTCCGAGAGGATGGGTGATTTTTCAAAGTGACTCAGAAAACTATGACAGTATTTGTTCCCCCAAACCTGTCCGAGGTATACCCTCAAACCTGTTCCACCCGTTAAACCAGGCCAGCCTCCTTCCCAGCCAGGGCCTAGGCACCGGCTAAGGAGATGGCCGGGCTCTCTCCCCCGCAGGACGAGAGCTGGAGCCGGGAGGCCTGCCTGCAGATGGGCAGCGCCTACGTCATCGTGTACTCCATCGCAGACCGCGGCAGCTTCGAGAGCGCCTCGGAGCTCCGCATCCAGCTGCGGCGCGCGCACCGCGCAGACCACGTGCCCATCATCCTCGTCGGCAACAAGGCAGACCTGGCCCGCTGCCGTGAAGTCTCGGTAGAAGGTGAGCTCTCAACCCCACCGCAAGCCCCACTGCTCTATCTCCAGACACAGCCACCCATTGCCATCCCACAGCCCATTGGCTGAGCCTGCCAGCTAAGAACCGCACGTCCCCCACAGCAGTCGCGTCCAAGCAAGCCCACCTCCCTTAGGCCCACACCTCCTGCCTCCTGATCAACAGCTTTTGCCCCGTCCTGGGATCTCCATTTTGTCCTGGGTCGGCCCCTGTGCTTCTCTGGCCTCACTCAATCTGCCCTCCTCACCAGCTGCAGTTTTCCTGAGCCAGAGCTGACCTTGTCTTTTCTCTGCTTAAAAATACCCCCATGGCTCCACATGCCCTTAGCCAGAGACACTTTATCTACCAGACATGATAGCCCCAGTGCCTACCAGCTTTTCAAGTACTTGCACTTAAGAATTTTAAAAGACCGTTAGTGGCTCCAACATAAAATGAGAAATTCAAATTTCATAAACCTTTGTCAAAAAAAAAAAAAAAATACTGTGGCAGCTAGCAATTGTGAACCAAAACTTTTTAAGCTATATATGAATATTTACATTGGGATGGGGAATATTTTAATATTTCATGTTTCTTGTGGGGCCAATAAAGACCTTAAAATGGCCCTACTTGTGAAGTAAATCTACAAAATATGGAAGCTGAGACCCGACAGGAAAAGCCAGGTTCTCAAGGTCTCGGGCCCTGCCCGCTGGCATCCTGGGGATGAGAAAGCCAGATGCCCTGAGGACACACATCCGGAAAAGCTGCCACAGAATCCTTAGATTTTGTTAAAACACAGGTTCCAAGACCTCATCCCAAATCTAAGGAATCTGAATTCCTGAAGGTAGGCCCAAGAATTTGTATTTTAGCAAACCCCTCCAGGGAATTCCAGGACTCTGGCTTTCAAACTGGTTAGTCCTTTGTCCGATTTTCCAGACATCCCAGTCAATGGCACTAGTCACTAGCGTGTGAAACTAACTCCCCATGCCCACTGTGATTTATCTCTGATTTCACTGACACCTGCACCGCTAAGGGATCAGGGAAATTATTTGCAATAGAGACCAAACTTGCCTCTTTCTATCTTCCCTGGCTTTCTGGTTATGGCCCCGCCCCGCCCACTGGCCACGCCTCCCAGAGGGCCGCGCCTGCGCCGTGGTGTTCGACTGCAAATTCATCGAGACGTCCGCCACCCTGCAACACAACGTGGCGGAGCTCTTCGAGGGCGTGGTGCGCCAGCTACGCCTGCGCCGCCGGGACAGGGCGGCTGAGGAGCCCTCAGCCCCGCGACGGCGGGCCAGCCTCGGCCAGCGCGCTCGTCGCTTCCTGGCTCGCCTGACGGCCCGCAGCGCCCGCCGCCGGGCACTCAAAGCCCGCTCCAAATCGTGCCACAACCTGGCCGTGCTCTAAAGCCGCCTGCCTTTCTGGAGGTAGTGGGACATTAGGATGCTGTCCGAGCTTTGCCGAAGCTACCGAGGAGCAAGAGCCGCGTGGCCTGTAATCCACGCCTTGGGCTTTACCTGCCGGCTGTCTTGATGATCTGAGCATTAGCCAGAGCTTCGAGGACCACTCGGCCTGGGAAGTAGTGGACAGACCATGGGCCAAAGCCTCAAGACGGATGCAAGTAGGGTGTTTATAATGTGGTGGGTGCCTTTTTATAAGAATCTATCTTGTCTCCAAGATCTCACCTGTCGATGTCCGCTCCCGGCCGGCAGGAAAGACACACGACAAGGTCTGGCGGTGGTCAGGCTTTTCTTTATTCTCTCCTTATACAGTCTGCCCCGAAGCCTCTACCGGTCCGCTCTCCGCGGCTCCTTCCGTGCTTCAGTCTGCCCCGAAGCCTCTACCGGTCCGCTCCCCGCGGCTCCTTCCGTGCTTCAGTCTCTCTCGAAGCCTCTACCGGTCCGCTCCCCGCGGCTCCTTTTGTGCTTCAGTCTCTCTCTCTCTCTCTCTCTCTCTCTCGGGGGTGGAGGCACTGGCTATATATAGGATTAATAGCTAGGCAGACTACCCTGTGAGGCGGGAACTTAGTGGGGTGATAAGAAACAGGTGCCACACAGGCGGGCTCGATGAGAGGGGTAATCTAGCCCAGGCTTTTGTACTTTCCCACAGGCCTCGCAATCACCGCGTCTGATGACTTGACAGTGCCACGGCTCCCAACATCTCCCCCTATTTTATTTTAAATGATGGCTACGCGCATCGCAGCCCGTCCTGGATAGAGTGCAGAGGCCTATGCCCCGAACTGAGGCCCACCGTAGGCCCTTAGCGTAGACCCTGGTCGGCCGTCCCAGGGTCCACCAAGGCCCTGAGGCCCTCGTCCTTTTTTCTAGGGCCAGGAATGAACCGGACGGAACCTGGTTGCACATAGGCATGCACTCATTTCTCTCCACGAATCCCCTCGGAGAGAAATTTATCTAACAATCCAGCGGCTTTCGAGCGGAACGGGGTAGGGCCTGGCTTAGGTTGAGTCGTGCTGGGGAGGCACGCTCTTACCCGTCATTGACTCACCCACCCTGCTACATGTTGTTGTCTAGGGAGGAGAATGTGGGAAGCCTGTCACTTTTAAACGCGGTCGTAGGCCATGCGAGCGAGCCATGCGTATACAAGGGTAGCACATAGGGGAGCAAGCCGTTCCAGGCCCCCAAAAAGGGATTGTCCTGCAGTTCTTTTAGGGCTCATCTTGTTGTTGGGTCTGCGGTTGGCCTCTGGTGGAACAGGCCTGATCTTCAGTCGAGGGACTTGTCGCGTCAACCTCTCTGGGACCCACACTGGTTCTCGTCCCGATTCCTGCGGAAAGACACAAACCGCGCCTCGGCTTCCTCTTTTGTATCTCTGCCCTCCTTGACGGACCCTTCTCGGGAGCTTCCTGACTGTGCCTGTTCAAACACCTCGCGTACTTCTACAAGTTCTTGAGAGCTCCCCCCGTAACTACCCTCACTCTTTAGGCACGTGTGTATCATTTCCCACAATGGACGAGCAGAGACTGAAGCTCTACCCTCCCGCTCTGCTAGGGAAAGGTCTCTGCCCAACTTTTCCCAGGAGGGCAGGTTTACATGCCCTGTAGGCAGAAACCAGGGAGCAAAGCTGTCAATCTCTGCAAGGAAATTTTCTAAAGTCTTACGCCCCACCTTGAGGTCCTTGGACTTTAGGAGTCTCCGAAGGACCAACACCAAGGCTGTGTATCTTTACTTGGCATGTTTCCCATTTTTAATATATCTTCTGTTATTTTTACTTCTATGTTTATGTTTTACACTCTTTTATTACCTTAAGTTCTGGTGTTATGTTTCATACTCACCGCGTGAGGCCCAAGAAACCCGCCACTTACGCGTGAGGTTGAGAGGAGTCTACAAACCCTGTAGGTGCGCGCCACCCAGGGCCCAGGCTTATCCTCTACTCACCTGTCCTGCAGCTGCAGCACTGTGTAGGAGAATGCAGTCCACCACCGCGTCTCGGGGTTGATCAATCCCCGGGCGGGCCTCCAAATGTCGGTGTCCGCTCCCGGCCGGCAGGAAAGACACACGACAAGGTCTGGCGGTGGTCAGGCTTTTCTTTTATTTTCCTTCTCCGTACAGCCTGCCCCGAAGCCTCTACCGGTCCGCTCTCCGCGGCTCCTTCCGTGCTTCAGTCTGCCCCGAAGCCTCTACCGGTCCGCTCCCCGCGGCTCCTTCCGTGCTTCAGTCTCTCTCGAAGCCTCTACCGGTCCGCTCCCCGCGGCTCCTTTTGTGCTTCAGTCTCTCTCTCTCTCTCTCTCTCTCTCTCGGGGGTGGAGGCACTGGCTATATATAGGATTAATAGCTAGGCAGACTACCCTGTGAGGCGGGAACTTAGTGGGGTGATAAGAAACAGGTGCCACACAGGCGGGCTCGATGAGAGGGGTAATCTAGCCCAGGCTTTTGTACTTTCCCACAGGCCTCGCAATCACCGCGTCTGATGACTTGACAGTGCCACGGCTCCCAACACTCACCTACTCTCAGAAACCCCCACAATAAACTAATCCAGCAGGATGTCCAGTCTGAATGCCCAGATTCCTCGTTGGGCTCTCCAGACATTTCATCCTCCTGGCTTCCCATTACAGTGCTGTGGACTGGTTTACCTTCCTGGCCATGTATCCAGGCAAATCAATAAAATCACAGGCTAGTTGTGCCCTTAGGCCCTCTCCCATCCATTGGGTGTAATATCTGTCTTTGAGACACATTCAGGATCACTACTAATCACAGCTCAGTGTGACCCACTATTTTCTCTTTAATTCATTTTCTGGAATATAGATTCAAAAAATATTGTTCAGAAGCAATCTTAGCTCTCATCCTGGTAATATAATAGCTAGCATATGTGGGAGTTCTGTCCCAAGCTGTCATGACGATGAATTAATCTTCACCTGGGAGGAGAATGTGTGCCAGACTTCTTCCACTAGCATCTATGCCCAACTTATCCACAGTGTAGTCTTCAGGAAGCTAACAGGGTACTTGGGAGTCTGAGGCTTGCCTGTACAACTTAGCAAGACCCTACCTCTAATTCATTAAGCAATAGAGCACTTAACTAACATGTATGAAGCCCAAGCTCCATCCACAACTATGAAAAAAAATTTAAAAAAAGAACAAGAAAAAGAGGAAAGAAGGAAGGAAGAAAAAAATAAAGGGCAGCCAGGCCTCTAATCCCAGCACTCAGGAGAGAGACTGAGACAGGAGGATCACTGTGAGTTCCAGGCCAGCCTACACTACATAGACCCTGTGTCAAAAGTAAAACACAAAAAACAAACCAAAATTTAAAAAAGGAGAATTAAAAAAAAAAAAAAGAATGTAGTAAATCCCTATAGCATTTGAGGAGGACAAACTTTCAAATACAATTTAACTTAAGGGCTAATGAGCCATGAATTCCATGAAACCCTATCCATTAATCCCCCAGCATAGACCCCGATTTAGTCCAATCCACTCATTTTCCAAATGTGAAAACTGAAACCCAATTGGGGGAAGTGAGCATACACTCCAAAGTCATTCAGCTAGTGAGGGTGACCCTGGGACCTCCTGCTGGCTGTGAGGAGGGAAAAGATAGTGAGGTGTCCAGCCTGGCTGGCACAGGGCTGGGCGTAGGTCAGGAGTTTCCAGCCGGGAGAGGGCCGGGTGTCACTGCTTTGAGAAGAGAACAACATGCAGATGTTTGAACCATCGTGTTTCTGATGCCTGACACCCCTGCCCCCAACCCGATTCCTGCCTGCAGTGGCCTGAGTCCCGAACAGGCACCCCAAAGTCCCAGCTGCCCCGCCCCCAAGGAGAGCCAGCCAGCGAGCCACACCCCTTCCCTCCGACCCGCTCCCTCAGGGCTTGCCAGCGGGTGTAGATAGCACCTACGCCCCCACCTCAACACCAGCCCAAGAAAGAGAAGGGAGCAGGGTTTCCCCCACCCCAAGCTGTCGCCGGCTGCTGCGGTCCCGGAGTGGGGGAGGGCTCTAGCTGTGGAAAGTTGGCAGAGGCAGCCGGCAGCAGACCGGAGAGTGGAAAAAATGATATCAAACCCGGAAAAATGCAGGCCGGATGAAGGGCCAGAGTCGGCTTTAGAAACGAAGGCGGTCACAGTCACCCCTTTCTTCATCCTCAAGTATTTACTGAGGGTCTACTCAGTGCCAGGTACAGTGCCAGGCTCTGAGAAGTGTGGGGAAGAGCGGAGGACAACTTCCCCGGAGCTCGCCACAGCCTGGTGGGGAAAGCAGACTAGACAATAAATAAGTGAATAAAGTAATTTCCAAATGATACGGGCTAAAAATCAGGATGGTCAGCGAAGCCGCTGAAGATAACCCAATCTAGTCCCCCTCAGATGGGAAAACTAAGGCCAGAGAGGAAGAGGCCTTACCCCCAGGCCACTCAGGATGTGGAAGAAATAACTGAGCCCAGCTGGAGGGCAGGGGCGTGGCCCAGCAGCTGTGTTCAATCCTTGCTGCCCTCCCAGTGCCTCAGTTTCCCCACATGTAAAATAGGATTCCTGATAATTCCTTCCCCCAGAGTTGAAGTAAGGATGAAATGGCTTAAGCCGTATAAAGTGCTCAGCACAGCTCTGGCGTCCGAGAAGATTCAGGAGAGATCGGCTGCTGCCATCAGGTCCTAAGACTGTGGGGGACGGGCGTTTCTTAAGGGTGAGGCATTCATTCCAAGGCTGTGAGGACTTGCTTGAGAGCCTCTGTTCAGCGATGACACTAGAGGACCATAAGAAAATCCCTCCTGAGCCTCAGTTTCCCCAGCTGCATAGTAAAGGGGTTGAATCTGAACGTCTATTCTATGTTCATGTAGACACATGTTTACCGTCCGTCTCCCCCACAGGACGGGAAGCTCCTAAGTGCTGCACTGTCCCTAGCTGCACGCACAGGTGCTCGGTAACTACCTGTTGAGTGAGTTAGAAGGTATGGCTGGGAAAGCTTGTGAGAAAACTGCATTACCTTTCCCAGGGTCACAGCCCATCAGAGTTTAAAAGTTTTTTCTCGTCCATAAAAACAAATAAATGAAAGTAGCTGTTTTAACTTTTCTATGTGTCAGCATTGAGCTCCATACTACAGGCCAGGTATGCGTTTTTTCACTTCCTGTCCTAATCATCTACTTAATATCACTTAATAGGTGAGCAAGCACACTGAATTGAGGACCTGAGAAATTGCACACAGCAAGAAAGGTTAGTCTGTTCAAATCAGATGTGTTGTCATGAGGCAAGCAGAAACTACTGTCTTAACTGCAGGACTGGAGAGGCTAAAGAATAAAAAGGAGATGCGCTGTACAAACCCAAGGTCACGTAATAATAACAGCAGGCGGTTATATAACTTTTACTATGTGTGAAGTGCTATTAGGAATTAATTTGCTAAATCGTCAAAACTGGCATATGATCCCAGGCCAGTTCTCAGATGGAGAAACAGTGACACAGAAAGGTTTAGTTTCCTGCCAAGGTTGCACAGGGAGCAAGCGATGGGGCCAGAATTCACACAAGGATGTCTGGCCCTATGGTGTTAAAGGTTCACCTATACTGTACCATTTATTGGTGCAGCAGGCCCTGACAGAGCAGCATGAAAGGAGAGGAGTCTTTGCCCGGTGCCCTCCTGGCAGGACTGGGGACAGAGCACAGAACAAAAGTACATTAAGAGAGGCTGGGTCCACCGTGGTGCACACCTGCAATCCCAGAACTCCATGAGGTTGAGGCAGAAGGATCACAAATCCAAGACCAGCCTGGGCAACTTGGTGACTTAGTAAGATACTGCTTCAAATAAAACACTTTTTTAAAAGGCCTGGAAATGTAGCTCAGTGCAAAAGCTGTGAGTTCAATTCCTAATACACACACACACACACACACACAGACAGCACGTTAAGAGTGCTTGGCCACAGCTGGGACTTTCCACCTTAAAGGGAGGAGAGTGTTATGGAAAAAATGATAAAGCTCTGGAAAGATGAATATCTCCCCAGAGGCCCCCAAGTCTCCACGGAGTCCCCCCTCCTGCAATGAGGGAGGGTCACAAACTGCTGGCCTATCTGATGAGATGAAGGCCACCTGGCTTCTGAGCTTCCCCAGCCGGCAGCTCACAGTACTGAGGATCGTTGTCCTCAATGGAAAGGTTTGATTGCTCAGCCAGGAGCTCGAAGCTTCTGCCTAGAGACCCCCAAGGAATCAGTTTCAAGCTGGAGACCCTTGTCGTTGGGTGGCAGGAAATATACCTCTCACAGGGTCCGGCTCACTCCTTCCTTTGTTCTGCAAACAGCAACTGGGATGCGTGCTGCGAAACCAGGCGCAGAGCACAGAGGTCACAGCTGGCAGACACGGGGACTTCCAAGCCCCTGCGGGGAAGGGACTGGAAGGGAAGAGGAGGGGTAAGAAAACTCTCCTACCACTGCTTTAGAGAGATTAAGAGTCTCTCGGTTCTGTCATAGGCATGTGGCCTTAGACAAATCAAAATATACAGAGCGGCGAGACTAAGATAGAATTCGCCATGTGATTGTCTTTGTCTCAAGAATATTTGAATATTTTAGTTCAGCAGCTTGAGAAAATATACAAGTTCGGTTTCAGTTCAAGCACTGTTCCCTTCTTCAGTTCAGGGTTCAGTTAAAAATACTAATGACAGGGTGGGAGCTTTGAGTTCAGCAGTGGGTGCAGTTTCCCCCAGTTCCATCTGGTTCAGGTTCAAGGCTAGGGTGTGTGTGTGTGTGTGTGTGTGTGTTTACGTTCCCAAGCTTCATGAATGTGACAAGATGTTAGTGGAAAAGCACGAGCTTTGGAACTATAAAACACCCACGTTCGATCCCATCTCAGGCATTTGGTTTCTGTGAGACCTACAACGCCATTCAGTTTCTTTTTCTCCTTGATATTGGAAGTGACAGTTCCTATCCCAAAGATTAAAAGTCTTTGCATAGGGGCTGGGGATTTAGCTCAGCGGCATAAGCACCTGCCTTGGAAGCAGGCAGTCATGAGTTCAATCAATCCCTGGTACTGATTAAAGAAAAAAAAAGTCTTTGAATATTTGGGAATGCCCTGTGTATATCTGGACACCGGGTACATTTTTAGGAATGTACTATAATATTTAGGAATATGCCACCTAAATAGCATACTTTTCTAGGCCTCAATTTTCTCATCTGGACAGTGAGGACATTAATAACCCTACTCTTCCTCTCTATATACTAGTGTAAAAATTCAACCACAGTGTCATTTATTAGCATGATGCTTTGCACACGGCATGTATTCCATAAATTATACCTATCCATGCAATTCTATGCGTTCCTTTATTCTTTTTCCTACATATGTACTCTCTGAAGCATAATGTTGCTTGTGGTTAAGCTTTACTCAAGTATATTCTACGTATTATTCAACCTTAGTTTTCAAATTCAACATTATAAGGTTTATTTTATTGCTATCCATATTCATATTTTATTTTTTATCACTGTACAGTATTCCATTGTATAAATATAGAATTAGTTATCTTTTTTTCCCGTTAGGCTTTTTTTTTTTTGCTATTATATACAGTACTGATGTGAACATTATATATGCCTCTTTGAGCACACGTGTAAGTTTCTCTCTTCATCTATCCACTCTGTCATCTTCTGAATTTCAGTTTGCCCTGGGCCAACTATCTTTAGGGTCCAAATATGGACCAGCTCCATGTATCAAATGCAATCATGACAAGGTCTAGTGGAAGCAAGAAGACCCCCTTCTTCCTGAGCTTCTCCCTTTCATCACCAAGGTGTCTCTCTCTCTCTCTCTCTCTCTCTCTCTCTCTCTCTCTCTCTCTCCCTCTCTATCTATCTGTCTCAGAATCCTCCATCAATTTTTGCTTCTTTGCTTTTTGCTCACTGGTCAGAACTGGATCACATGATTATCTTCAAGCCAGTTATTGGCTTAGATTAATCAGAATTGATCCCTGATCATCCAACATGGTGCATTAGTAAGCAAAAGCTATCCAAGAAAAAAAACTACAACAAAATATGGAGGAGACTGTACGTTAGATCACTGTTCTAGTTACCATACTGTATAATAAACAACCCCAAAGCTCAGTGGCATAAAAACAATCATTTCTTACAGACTTATATAAGTCAGGAAATTGGGAGCGGAGTGAGTCCAGCTTGTCTCCAAGGTCTCAGCTAAGAATCTCAGGCTGGGGTGACTGAGTAGTCGAGACTGAAGTCCTCTGAAAGCACCTTACCGGTCATGAGCTAGATACAGGCAGTGAGCTAGATCTCAACTGTATGTGGCCCCTCTGTTGGCTTAAGACTATTTGTTCCCCTTGCTCCTATAACAAATTACCTTTGGTGACTTAAAAGAACTTAAAAACCTTTGGTGACTTAAAAGAACACAAATATGTTAATTTATAGTTCTCTGGGATGGCAGTCCAAGACCTGCTGAGACTAACTTCAGGGTGTGAGCAGGTCTGCATTCCTTTCCAGAGGCTCCAGGAGAGAACCTGTCTCCCTGGCCTTTTCCGTTTCCAGGTGTCAACTGCTGTCCTTGAGTCAAGGCTCCTCCTTCTACCTGTAAAGTGAGTAACACCTGGCCTAGTCCGTCCCTGTCCACCATCTCCCGGGTTCTCCTCTTCTGCTTCTCTCTTCTACCCTGTGACTGCCCTGGGCCCACCTAGACAATCCAGAATCATCTTTCTGCTTCAGCGTCAGCTGACTAGCAACCTTCTTTCCATCTGTAACCTAACTGCCCTTTGCCATGTAACGTAACATACAGTTCCATAACCCACTCAAAACTGTCCAAGAAGGAGCTGGGGATTTAGCTCAGTGGCCTAAGTGCCTGCCTGCCAAGCGCTAGGTTATGAGTTTGATCACCAGCACCAAAGAAAGAAATAAACAAAATACTCCTAGGAGAGCTACATGAGAAAGACTGTCAAAACTGTCCAAGGATCTGGTCTTTTGAGGGAGCTGTTTTCCTGCCTGCCGGAGTTGGATAAAGAAGGGGATGCAGGAAGCTAGGGACTGGGTTTCCGTCCTTGCCCCTCCCCCATCTCGCTCTAATGACTACCTAGAGAAGGGCCTAATTAAAGAGTCTCCCTGCAGCCTGATGGCAGAGTGCTGGGACACTGTCCCCAGAGTCTGATCTTGCCTCCTTCCTCTAGCCCGTGCTGTTCTCCAGGTACACCAGCTTCTTCAAACCTCTACTGCACAAATCTCTGCCTGCGGGAAACCCTACTCCCTGCTCACAGATACAGGCTTTGCGTCAGAATTAGCGCCCTCCCCAGCAATGTGACTTCAGGAGCGTCAGTTCCTGGGGTGGTTAACACCCCGGCACCCCAGCAGGACAGTGAAGGGGGCCCTCTGCTCTTAGCTCTTCAGTCTTCCCTGCCGTCCAGAGTGAGTGTGACCTCCCCAAGTCCAATCCTCTTCAAGACCTGCCCCCTCACTGAATGATGATGAATGCCTTTTCATGTAACAACTGTTGAACCTTACACACGTGCACACGCACACACACAAATTTATTCTGAAGCCAAAACTAGAAATCACTAGCTCAATGCTCATAGAATCAGACAGGTGATATGCAACAGTGAAGTATCCTGGAGGCTGGGTAAAGGACGTGTTAGGAGGCATTAAGATTTATGGAGAACTGAAGTAGCTGCCTTTCCCAAAGGGAAAAGAAAACTAAGCCGCCTGTCACCACTGTTAAGTGTGAACGCAGTACTGCCACATAGTTCACTCAGTTTTCCTTTTTAAAAAATGATAGCCAGAGCCAAGCATGGCGGTACAGGCCTATAATCCAAGCACTCGGGAGGCTGAGGCAGGAGGATCGTGGCTACAAGGTGAGCTCAAGGCCAGCCTGAACTGCATAGTGAGACTCTTGTCTCAAAAAGACAAAAAGAAAAAAGAAAAAAAAAGATAGCCAAATTTTTCTGTGAATTTTTTTTCTTTTGGGATAAAGTCTTCCTGAATTGGGACTCATTATGTGGGTGAGGCTGACCTCAAGGGTGCCCTTGTAGGAATCCTCCTGCCTCAGCCTCCCACGCGCTGGGATTACAAGCATGCACCACCACATATGGCTCAGTTCTTAAATAATTCTTGCTAATTCCTCTCATAGCCCACAGCAGCACTGGGGATGGAACCTAATATCTTCACACTGAGCTACATCTCTCGCCCATTTTCATGTTTTATTTTGGGACAGGACCTCACTAAGTTGCCTAAACAGGACTTGAATTTGTGATCGCCTGCCTCAGCCTCCAAAAGTGCTGAAATTATAAGCATGCACCACCCTGCCTGGGCACTAATTCCAATTTTTAAAACTGTGGGATGGTATATCCACCAGCCACCCGCAAAACATATCCAAATTCTGACCAGAGGTTGACATTTTATAACTTCTGGCCCACATCCAAAGAGTGATAGAGAAATGCATTCTTCGTCAGTCCCCGGTCTTCAAGACTGCCCCTCGCACCACATAGTTAGCGCATAATTATAAAGAACAGCTTGTTCCTTTCTTCAGCTATTCTCTGGCCCTCTTTCTAAAAGGAGTGCCTCTTCCAGACATTTGGGACTCCAAGGATGCCCAATGCCAGGTAGCATATTTTTTAAATTGAACTTGGACTTGTAGTAATATATTCCCATTATACAAATAAGTCAAAACAAGAGCAAATACACGGTAAAAGAATATATATAACGTACTTATCTGTGAAGCTTCACATGATAGGAGTCCTTATAAGAACATTCTCTAACAAGATGTCTAGAGGTAGGCAATTTAGGGTTGGTTCATCACCCCTCCCGTGTCAGGACTTTGGGTCTGCATCTCCAGCATTCTCCAGGCATTTTCTTCGTGGCTGGAATGACTGCCACATTCTTAGACTGTCTCCCAAGCAAAGAAGAAAAGGGAAACATCAGACGGTGTTTGTCAAGGTGGAAATCATTTGCTAATAAATTTCCCTTCTAGCTACAAGGGCCACTGAAAACGCAGCTGTTAGCACAGAGTACTGCCCCTCCCGCCTTGGTTATGCCGGTTATGATTCAGCCCTTCCGTGCCCCAAGCTGGATGCTGCTATGAGCAGGGCCCAGGGTGAGGGTCAGCGTATGGGCACCCGCAGTGTTCACCGCTGCCGCATCCCACCCTGGCCCCCACCCCATCCTGCTCCACTCCCGGCCACACCCACCCCAAGCACTTCGGGGTTTATCCTTCTGGATGTTTTCAACCCACCTCCCTATACGCTGTAGCAGAGTTTTTCTTTTCTTTTTTCTTTCTTTATTTTCATTTCTACCAAATTATCAGAACTACAATTTTGTTGTTCTCTTGTCTGGGGAATCAAGAATAAACCCTGACTGCTTTAAGCCAGAGACTGATTTGAACGAGGAACCCACAAGCCAGCTCTGGCCAAAGAAGTGTGAAGGAAGATTGGCTGGAGGATTCTAAGACAAGCTTCTTTGCTCTTAAAAAATGGTTGACAATTAAAAACAAAAGGCGGCAGCTGGAAGGCACGGTCCTCTTCCTTCAGCGGTGACCGGAAGGTACAGGTGTGGTGCCTGGAACTGCAGCCACCTTCTTGCAGTTCGGACAGCATCTGATCACAGGATGGCAAAGTACAGGACAGCAGTAGCTGAGCCCCGGACAGGGGAGTCAAGCCACTGACCTAACCAACCCGGAGGCCAAGCTGCCTCTGGGCTTTTGTTAGGTAAAATAATTTGTTTCAGTGTTTAAGCAAGTTATCTTGTCGTTTCCTGTGTTCACGTCAAAAGTCGCTCGTCTGTTGGTTGTTTGCTTCTTTTCTCCAAAATGTAGTTACAGTCATATTCATTAGAATTTAACTCATTTGCAAAGAATGAAACCCAAAATAGCAATGATAGGAACAAGACAGAAGCATATTTCTGCAGAAATGCAGAGGCGGGCAGTCCAGGGCGGGCAGGACATTCTGCAGGGCTGGGTCCCAGCTCCTTCTACACTGAGTCCCACAGCCTTTAATACAACCTGCTGCTCCGGCTGCAGCCATCAAATCCACAGTTCAGCCAGCAGGAAGCGGAAGGAGCAACAAAGGGTCAGCCTTTCTGGAAACTCATAGATTACCTCTGTCTACACCACTGGCTTTCTGAGTCTAGGAAATGTGTTTTCTTCTAAACAGCCACGTGCCGGCTCAAAACAGACATCGGTGGGCAGCACACAACCTGTGTTCAATCCTGTGTGTACTGGCTATCATTTGCTTTTTTTAGTCAGTGCAACCTAGCTTCCTATTCTTATCAGAACCCATAAATTCACCATATCCTTTCCACCATATTATTTTGAGAGGTATTTTGTTCTTTTTTTTCTAGCTACTTAAGATAGACACAAGGCCAAGCATGTGATACACACCTGTAATCCCAACACTCGGGAGGCTGAGGCAGAAATATGGCAATCCAAGGCCCGACTGGGTCACAAAGTGAGTTCAAGTTCAGCCTGAATTACATAGTGTAACCCTGTCTCAAAGAGACAAAGAAAGAAAAGACAGGGACATAGATCATTTATTTGAGACTTTGCTTCTTTTCTAAGACAAGCATTTAAAGCTAAATTGCTCTCTAACCACTGCTTTAAATGTATCTCATGAATTTTGGTACATTGTGTTTCTCATTATCATTTGGCTCAAAATACTCTGATTTCCCCTGTGATTCCTTCATTTTCCCATAGGTTTTTCAGAAGAGCGTTGTTTGATTTCCAAGTATTTGAGGGTTTTCTTTTTTTTTTTTTGAGACAAGGTCTTGCTATGCAGTTCCGGCTGGCCTGGGGCTCATTTTGTAGCCCAGGCTGGTCTCAAACTTGCAGACGATTCTCCTGCCTCGGCCTCCCAAATGCTGGGGTTACAGGAGCACGCCACCACCCCTGGCATTTTTTGAGGGTTTTCCATACAGGTACATGTTTTTTACCCTCTGCAGTACTGGAGATTGAACCCAGAGCCTTTGCACTAAGCTACATTCCCCACCCTCTTTTTATTTTCTACTTTGAAACAGGATTCCAAGTTACTGAGCTGCGCAGGCTGGACTTGAACTTGCGATCTTCCAGCCTCAGCCTCCCAGAGTGTGGAAATTAAAAGCAGACACCACCACACCCAGCTCTCTACATCGTTTTTCATTACTGATTTCCAATTTAGCTCCCCTGAAAATTTGAGACTTACTTTATAATTCAGTGTATGATCTACCTTAGAGCATGTTTCATGGACACTTGCAAGTAGTAAGTATTCCGCTGCTATTGGGTGAAGTGTTATAAAATGTCATCTGGATCAAATTGGTTAATAACCCTTTTCAACTTTTCCATATCTAAAAAATATCTCCCATATGTGATATATACCCACTTGTTTTAGCAGTACTAAGAAAGAAATGCTGAGATCTATACCTATAAATATGAGTATGTGTTATGCTTTGTGTTTAAATATCCCCCCCAAGCCGGGCACAGTGGCTCATACTGTAATCCCAGCACTTGGGAAGCTGAGGCAGGAAGATTGTTGCAAGTTCAAGACCAGCCTGAGCTACAAAGTGCGCTCAAGGCCAGCCTGAATTGCATAGAGAGACCCTGTCTCAAAAAGACAAACAAAAATGTCCCCCCAAAGCCTCATAGCATTTGTGATTGGTTTGTTGCTCAGTGCCAGGACTGGCAGTGTGAGTGCTATACCCACCCAGGGGCGGTAGCTGGCATGCGATACAAGGGAGAGAGGAGGCTGGCTTTGCCCTTTTGCCCTTTTGCCCTTGTCACTTGCTGCCATGAATGGTTCACCTTTAGCCATGCCACCCTGCCTTGGAGCCAGCTGAGTATGGATTGAAACCTCCACAAACTGTAAGCTAAATAAACCTTTCCTTCTTTCATTTTGGGCATCAAGTATGTTGTCTCAGCAGCGAGAGAAAAGTAACCAACACAATATGTCTATTTCTCTTTTTCACTTTGTTAATTTTTTCTTTACCTTGTTCTTTTTTCATGGCTGTAAAATATTCCTTTTTTTTTTTTTTGGAAAAAAATATGAAATCATTGTCTCTTTCAGCCAACTTTCCTGAGGAGCTCTGCCTGCAGCTCAGGCTGGGAATGGAAAGTGTGCGGGGAGGATATACCAATACATATATCACCCATTAGAACACCTTATAGATAGTATAGTTCTTTTTTCTTTACTAACAACATGGTAGTGAGCACTTTTACACACGTAGAAAGGATCACCAGATTCAAATTTTCCAGTCAAAGGGGAAGTACATCTTACATTTTGACAGATAGTGCCAAATTGCTCCAAATGGCTGGGATATACTGGTATTTTTTTTTCAGATGCTTCATGCCCAATTGTTAACACTACAGTTGACACTGGATATTATCAGTCTTTTCATTTTTGACATTCTGTGGGGACAGGACGAGAGAAAGTTAACAATCCTTTCTTGGCATTCCTTAATTGTCATAAAGTCAAGCAAATTCCGTTCAGTGGCTGTGCCTCTTAACTAACCAAAACCTAAATGGAGCTTTGAAATTACAACTTCTGTTAAACTTTTAGTCTGGACTATTCCACTCTTATCCTCAGCCTCAGAGAGAAATGTTCTTATTTCCAGTCACCAGCACCATGTTCACAATAGGAAATCTGAGATCATTCAGATCCGGGTTTGAATCCTGCCTGCTCGGCCACAGGCAGCTGTGTGACCTACGGCAGATTTCCTGGCCTCTCAGAAACTTCAGGACGTTTTACAAAGACAAGCACTTGCATGAGCACTGTGAGAGCTAGGTGTGTGAAGCACCCCAGCAGCTCTCAGTGCCTAGTGAGCACTGACAATTACCACTTTTTAAATAGGAATTCCTAGGTGCAAAGCACCCAGACAAGATGTTTTCTCAGGTTGTTTCATTAATGTTCACAGCAGTAAGAGATGCGACCATTTTAGATATGAGGAAAACTGAGACTCTGAAACGTTCCATACCCTGTCCACAGTCACATAGTAACCAGCATAGTTCAGGATAAAATCAGAAGTGCCTGAGCCGGGCATGGTGGTGCACGCTTGTAATCCTAGCACTCGGGAGTCTGCAGCAAGAAGTTCACCGTGAATTCGAGGCCACCCTGTACTACATACCGAAACCTTGTCTCAAAAAAAAAGTGCCTGACTCCTAATTAAACCTGTTCCTGGAGTAGCCGGCTCATTTCACAGATTAGCAAACTGAGGCCCAAGGAAATTAAATGATACATAAAATTAGATGGTGGGTGAGCAGCAGCCAGTTACCTCAATAGTCCCCCTCTTCAGGGGTCTGGGTGTGTAGCTGGGGAAGAGCTAGAGACAAAGAGTGAGGACAGCCACCCAGCAGAGGAGTCAAGGGCATGGAAAATGTCTCCTTCAGCCAACTTTCCTGAGGAGCTCTGCCTGCAGCTCAGGCTGGGAATGGAAAGTGTGCGGGGAGGAGGCGCAGCCCGTCCATCCGGAGAAACTGTTTGCACAGTCCTGCGGGGAGAGGCCGGGGAGGGGGCGGAACCGGGAGGCAGAGCATGTGGCTGGCGCCCAGGGCTGGGCCTCCCGGGAGCAGAGCAGGCGTCTGAGCTCCCTGCTTCCTCTGTGGGTTCCCCCACCCCCGCTGCCAGCTCCCGTTGTGCCCCGCCCACTGGTCTGGGCATCAGCCATTGGTGGAGCCCAGAGGCTGGCAGGCCCCACACTCTGGGGATGAACTCTGCTGACTCAGGGAGGGTGCAGTGACCAGGAAGAAGGACTGACCCTCCTCTCAGAGATCTTCAGGGCTGGACTGGAGAGCCATGGGCCACCCGGATGAAGCCCAACCTCAATGACATCGGTGTGGCCCCTCTGCCCTGAAAAATCACCCCGTGCTTCACACTGAGCCCTGAAGTCCGCCACCGTAGGTGCAAGCAAGGCCTGCTGTTCAGATGCACCCGCCATTCCAGTTGTCAAATACTGAGATACAGTCCTGATGGTCATTAGGAAGCCCCACCCCAGTGCCCTCCCCTCTAAGCATAAAGGACACTCAGAGTTTCCTCGGACCCCACCCCCAACCCCTCACAGCCACTGAAGAGGTTACAGCAGGCGGGTTTGGGGCTGTGAGCATCCGGATCATCCTCAGTGGGTGACAATCAAAATCATTGCTGGCACTTACACCTCCTTCTGGAAACAACACTTTGGCTTAAACTCATTTCCTGTTTAAAAGCAAATGGTAGAAATTTAGAACAAAAAGAGCCTTCTGTGATCTCTACATTTTCCAGTGAGGAAACGGAGGCCCAAAGGGAAGCAGAGACTTGCCCACGTCCACACAGCCTGTCCGTATAAGAAAAGGCATTGGGACACAGGTCCCTGGCACCTGACACGTTCCCTGGGCACCAGTGTATCTGGCCTCACAAACACTGAACTTTAGCGGATGACAGCGGTGAGAAAGGGAAGGAATCTGTCTCAAGGCAGAACTGATAGCCAATCACCTATCTCTTGTACCTGCCATCATCGTCATGACAACAGTCTCTTTGGCCACTATCTCCACAGAGATAGTTGCTGTGGCAATCACCACCCAGGCATCGACTTCCTGACGTGCAAGCACCTCAAGATAAACCCAGAAGCAAATCCACTCCACAGCACAGACATAGATCAGAGCTCCAAGGAGCAAAGAGACTGTCTCAGCTCTCCCAACAAGTCGGTGGTGACTGCAAGCTCCCCGATTGCCCAGCCCAAGGCTCTCCCGCTGCCGGCCCTTTTCACACCGACACCCCCATTTTCCTGCCTGCTTGGTGCTTCCCACATTCCTCCAGGCCTCAGTCGGGATCGCCTTCCCACGGCCTCTCACCCTTGGCGGCCTGTCTACAGCTCATCCTCCTGGGAACCGCTGACTTACGCTTATCGGAGGACTCATCACAGGGGTTTCAGCGTTAGCTGGGGCTCCCTGAAGACCAGAGAGCCCTTTGCCTTCCACAGGAAGCATTCTGCAGTGGTGGAACTTCAGGCACCACGCTTAGAACTGAGGGGGTGTTGGGGGAGATCAGGCCCTGCACACAGTGCCCTGCCAGGCAGAGCTGCTGCCCTGGTGGGAGGGGTCGCTGGACTGGGGACACCAGCGACCTGGACCCCAACCCCTCTGAGATGGGTCCCCTTCTTGACTTTTATCACCTCCCTCCTCCCCTCCAGGATTCTATATCCTCCGCTGGAGAGACAACCTGAGAGTTTGTTCTTCCCCAATTCCAGCGTAAGGCTGCTGAGACCAGAGGCCATCAAGTACGTTAGGATTTCCAAACAAGAGGTGGCCGTGGCTTAAAGAACTAAACCTTCTGAATCTCCTAGAAGAGTGGCAAGTCAGAGCTGGAAAGGTACTCCACACTCAGGGAAGGCTTAGGGAAAGAACAGGACACTCGTAAAGAACCTAGGGGACCTACGAATAGTCAGTGTGTGGAGCAGTGAGAAGATGGAGAGTAGCCCAGACGGAGAAGCCAGGGCAGCTGAAAAAGATCACTTACTAGTCCCAGGGGTAAGGACATTGCCCCGTGGGCCT